AAATATATGTGTCCAAACTGTCAAGGATCTAGAACCCTAACAAGTTTGATTCAAGGTGTGTTTCGTGAAGATCATCTTACATTTCTTCGCGCGGTTTGTACATAATATTAGGAAAGTTTCGCCCAATGATAAAAATAATATGTGTGATATTGTAAATTACGTCATATTGATTTTTCATTGGACAAAACTTCCCCTTCTATTTGTATTAATTGCTGCGCCATATTCGTTATTCTCTTTACTTTGATTGGTCAACAAGTTAATAAGAACCTTTATTTTATTATTTTCTTCTTTAGAAGATTGCCCTATAGCGGAGACAACAGGCATTGATCCAAAAGCGTTGATGATCGAGGAACCCAAACAAATCGTAAGCTAATTATTTTCTTTTAATTTCATTGAAGCGCAACTATGATGTATAAAAAAAAAAATTTCATCTTAATACAGAAGGTATTTATCATATCGTGTGTTTAACTTTTAGGAACCTCCATCGCCTCCAAAGTGCAAGCTTCAACACTGTACAGAAAAAGCACGTGATAATAACCCTTATTGTAGTAATAAATGTTTTATACAAGGTCATATATTGGAAATCAAAAAATCACAAGATACAGAATTAGTGCAAAATCAACCCGAATCTTCAGTTGCTGAATCAAAAAAGACGCCGCGTGTGATATTACCAAAACTAAAATCACCCGCAATAAAAAAAGCTGTGTCTATTCCTACAAAATCTGGTTTTATTCCTAATAAAGCACATACTACAAGTTCTAGTGATAATCGTCCAAAAATACGCAATGTGTTCCCGGAGAAACTTAAAGGTGTATTCACTAATAAATATACGGAACTAGTTCAAGATCCTGATTATCCTGAAAAGGATAAAGATCCTCATGAACTTGGACTTCAACTTGCAAATGAGATTGAAGATGCAATTTTCCACAAATTTGCTAAGGGTATTATCGGGCAAGACTACAAAACTAAAGTTCGAAGCCTAATTACAAGTTTAACCGATTCCAAAAATGCGAATTTGTTGCGTCGAATACTCTTTGGTGATATTCCCCCTGAGACTTTAGTTATGATGTCTTCCGAAGAATTAGCGAATCCCGAACAGAAAGCATTAATGGCCAAAGTACGAAGAGAAAGCTTGCAACGATCAATTTTAAAACGTGAAAATACTGGTCCAAGAATTAAAACCACTCACAAAGGAGAATTAATCATAGTTGAAAATGTTCGTGATTCTCCTCAAGATTCACCAAAAGATACTACTACATACTTTGAGGAAGATCATACTTATGCGAATTTCAATGCTCCTGCTGTTGAGAGACCAAAAATCAAATTTGAAGATTTAGTTCCGAAGAAATGGATAGACGATAATACTATGGCATCCAAAAATGAAAATTCGGAGGGCAATCAATTAGCTCGTGACATCTCAACTAGTTTGGATTTATCTAAAGGATCTGCTGATACTAGTGATAATAATGATAAAATCATACATACTCCCGATGATTCCCATCCCGAAAAAGTTTTGGATGATAAAGAAATAGTTAATAGTCCTTTAATATCACCAAGTGTATCATCAGTTAACTCACCAATACATTCTCCTCCAAATTTATCATGTCAATATTCTCCTGGAAGTCCTTCCGATATGCGATTCGAATCTCCTGGAACCCCTATAGGAAGTCCTCCAAGTAATAATATTAATATTGTACCTGAGACTGTATGGAGGGGTAGATTGGTATTTGATAAGAAACTTGGAGAATTTTCAGGACATGCGGACCTTCTCGCGGCGAAAAAACGTGATAAGAAAAGAAATTGGGATGAATATCTCGCATCATCTATTATCGTCAATGGGCATGTTTCCAAAATTGAAGATGTGGATAATTATTTAGTTGACTGTTGGTGTTCACCTAATAAAGATATAGCAATCATTAAATTTGAAATTTGTGAAAATCCGAATACTGAAGAATTTGAAACTATATTTAATTCTTTGCACTATGCACCAAAATCAGCGGACGTAAAGAAGCGTCGATATGGACGTGTTGCACCCGCATATAGTACTGTAAGAGACATGTATCTGATTTCATTAGAACCCGATGACAAGCTTCCAGATGTTATAACTTTTTTAGAACTAGATGGAATTTTATCTCTTGAAAAGCGACCAACTAGGTTATTATTGGGTGCTGTAATAATTGTTGAGGCAGAATCAAATAAAACAAAACGTATACACGATATTAACGAGATAAATGGTAGAGCAGTTAAGAAAGAAAAAAGCGAACCCGATACCACGACTAACTTGGCAAAAGTGATTGCCTTGCCAAATATTGGATCTAATATTCATAATAACGAATCAATTAAAAAAAATATACCACCGGCAGCGAGTTCTATTAGTTCCTCAACAAACTTTTGGCCGAATCAACATAATTCTGTTAATGGTTCAACTGTAACTTCGGCAACAATTCCGACGTTTTTGCAGTCGTCGTTAACTACAAATAATCAAAATCATCCGAATTTAAATATTAATGTCTCACAAGGTATTCAACAAACTCCACTTGCGCAACCATTACCAATGATCACTTCTTCTACAAATGGGCTTTACGGATTATCTTCATATCCTCCTAATCCTCAAAATCCACCAATGGTGCATCCACCTCAATTACACATGACTTCACAACCATCACAAATGTATTGGAATTCACAGCAATCACCACCACCACCACCACAACAGCAGCCGCAGCAGCAGTCACAAATACCACTTCAAGCTCCTCAAAATTATCCCATGGTTCCACCATCACATCAGCAATGGATGCCTCCAATACAACCACCACAGCATCCACAGCAACAAGTATTTCTTCCTCAACAAGGTCCTCCTCTTGGACAACCACCGTTCATGCCACCACCTTCAAATATACAACAGCAAAATGTGCCATTACAATATGGACATCATGTAATATCTGATCTACCAAATGGTATCTCGCAACAACAACCCATAAGGCAGCAAATGCCTATTGGATCGTCTTCTCAGTATAACGCTTATCCGCAAAATTACAATCATTCCCAATATGAATCACCTCGACCACAATCACGGGAGAAAGATAATAGGCCGCATTGGAATAGAGATAATAGACCGAATATGGATCGAGATCGAGATCGAAATCGTCATAATCGACAAAGAAGAATTGTGAGAGAAGATAGACGACATCATGACTCTGATGATTACAGACCTCCACCAAGAGATCCCAGGCGACCATCACCACCTTCATCAGATTATCGGGATTTCAAAAGAGGTGGAGGTAGAGGTGGAAGGTATCGTTAAGTGTCAAATGGTATTTTATTTGATTTGATTGATTTTATATTGCTAACGCAATAAATATTATTGTGCCACCGCTAACAATTCTCGTTTCTTTCATAATTTTAGATGAATTCGATAAAACGAATAATTTGTAAATGAAGTTTTATTTTTCATTGTATAACATCCGGTATATGACTTGATAAATTACATTACGCGACACAATAAAGGGATATTTTATTGTGTAACTCAAATTAATCTTAATAAAATTCTCAATTTTTTTGGTTATATCATTATATCAACAAATTTTAACTCGAAAAATTGCTAGTGATACAAGTTGACTTATTTGGTAATTTAAATAAACCCGCAAATACGAATTAAAAGGATTTTAAATACCAGGATATTTTGCATGTAGAAGTTCGATTTTTTTAATCTTCAAAAATTATAAATATCTGGGGTATAATGTTAGGAAAAATTCATATAGCGCATAATATCTGGATATTTATAATTACTAAAATACTAAAAACATATACAAATTATACAAATAAAACAGTTCAGTTACATTATTAATATCCTTTATGAACGTTCTTCTTCATAGGAAGATAATTCTTGATCTCCATTGTCATTTTTAAATCATCTAAAATCTACATCATTATCATTATCATCTCAACATAATCAAATGATTCATCTTTCGAATCAATAGAAACCTTCATCAAGTTTCCATGATTTCTTAACCTAGTTTGCTAACTGTTAATATGAAGGTCTTTTAATTCTGGATTAAGAGTATAAATGCAATTTATAAATAAAAAAAAATCAACCAATTTATAAATAAAATCAAATCTTATATAATAAAAAAATTGTGTAACGGTCACATTTAGTTACGTGATTTACCCCGTAGCTAGTATGTTAATAATAAAATTTTAAACTTTTTAAAGACCTTAAAACGTCAAAATTTACAAATGTTTCCTATTTATTATATGCAATAAGATCGAATAACGTATAGCTATTCATTTATGACCATATCATTGAAAGATTTCCCATTATTACATTTCATTAACTATGAATGATAAACATCAAAAAACTGTACAAATAAATTATAAATATAATAGCGATTGTTATTAGTATATAATGCAATTAATAATGCAATTAATAAAAATAACAAAAAGAAGTACTTCTCATGATTGCGGGGTCCTATTTATATTTAACATGGGGGAGTTTTCCACAGAGATATGTCTTCTTTTGCCTATCATATTCATATTATTTAAATCTTTGATTACTTCTTCTGTTTTGGTTAATTTCACCTGAGAAAAAAATCAATAAAATTTTATATTAATATCCGCATAAAAATCTATAATAGTAAAAATAGTAACTTCTTACTTCCAACTCTTTTAATACACAATATAATTCTTCAAATAATAAACAATTATCATTTGATGATGGTATAACTGCTTTATCCAGCATTCCAAATAAATACATTTTGTTACCATACCACTGCATAGCATAAATATTCACATCAAGTCCTATGTTAAAAAATTATATAAGTTAACAAACACCAGACAATATAACTTTTGATAAGTAAAACATACCATGTTGTGTCCAACCATATATCGTCAACTTCCTTCTTTCATTATCATTAATATGTCTCCAATTCTTTAATAATATATTTAAAGAGTCTCTCATAATGACTCCTAACTTAACTTTATCAAGGAATCTTTTCTTTTTTGATGCTGCTGGAAAGCCAAATGGCCCAATTCCTCCTGAAACTTCACCAAATAAAACCTCAGCTTTAATCGGAGTTCGAATTAATGTTCCAAGCATATCTACTTTATGTCCAATTCTTGACTTGTTAAATGGATTATTATTTTCATTACGTGCATCTGTATTTGAATGTGAAACATTTTCTCCCCTATCATATAAGATATGAAATCTTTATTATTATTTTTATTTATGTAAAAAAAAAAATAATGAATATAAACTGACATACCACTTATCCTTAATAACATTATTGTCAATTACACCACGATAAAAGGGAAACATGGTGCTCATCTTAAGTTCTTCTTCCGTTAACACAGAAGAAAAGTATTTCATATTATGTTTTCTACACAATTAATGAAAGTAAGATTAATGTATCAAAAAATAAATTTGATCAATCAATACTTGCATATATTTGATATTTATGTCAAGGTCTTTATAATTCTGACCTAGATCATCATTGCAATTATTTGTAAAGTATTTCTGGAGGTTTTTAGGTGCTGGTTTAGGGTTCCACTTTAATTTTCTGGAAAAATCTTTTGATATATTTTCCATTAATGAATCATCAAGATCCTTTGCATTATATAAAGATTCTTTTGTTAAATCGATCACACCCCAATATCCTAGACTATAGATATACATAAATACAAATCTAGTAAATTAATAAGATTAATGATTGTAAAATAAAAATAATAACAAAATAGCATACGTTATAGCTTTTTTTGATATTGGAATTTTTGATCTATAAATTTCAAAAGATGTCGTTAACTCTTCGATAAAATCTGTATGAATATTCACTTCATTATCCACCTAAAATAGTATCATGGAATTAGTTATTTCAAATGTAACAAACAAAAAGAATGTAACAAATAAAGCTTACTTCTGCTGAATCCATCAATGGTAGGGCGTTCTCATTTATCAATTCATCCTCATTGATATTACCAATCAATACATCTTCATTATTTTCATCAAAGAGAGTGATTTGCCCTTCGTCATCATCAACATATTCATCTATTTCTAATTTTCGTTTATTTGAAGTTTCCCCTTGTTGCAGATAAGTTTGATACGCTATCGTATGAGTGGAGACATTGACCGTTTCCTATATATGAAATCCAGAAATATTAGCATCATTGGTGTTTACGTACCCGTATATATAATACAATCAAAACACACCTCAATCACAGCTTTTATGGCGATTTTCTTCTTTAGCAATATTTTGGCATCGAAAAATTTGTGGCATGTTTCAATGACACACTTACCTGTCAGCGTCTGTGGTGATAATAAATTTGTTACAACTATATTACTATTTTACAAATAAAAAGATAAAGAATAAAAAAGTACTTCTAGCCACCGAATATAACTTTGGCAAAATGATCTAACAGATACAGGAACTGTGAAAATCTGATTAATTTGGTCAACGCTTTCCTTGAAATTAAAGAACATCTGTTCAAAATTGAGTAAAACATCGGTGTTTTCAAGAACATAATTGATGTAAGCTTCCAAAGACCAATTTGAGGCTGGGATAACCTTGAAGAAAGTTTCAACGGCACGCATATTTTCACTACACCTAAAGTTGTGAAATTTTGTCGCTGTTAATCTAGGCTCACTAATTAAAGTTGACATTGAATTTATGTTCTGTGCAAGAAAAAAGAAGATAAAAAAAAAACGCGAATGACGACAATAATCGAAGATTCGTGAATATACACGTGATTTGATTTATGGGTGGCGCAGAAGTGTACAATAAAAATTTTCCTAAGCATCTTTTTTTTAATTTTTAATTTTTTAATTTTTCGATATTGCTTTTCATTCTGTAGCTAGTTTTTTTCACTATTCCTTTAATAATATGATCTCGCACTTTATGTAAAAATGCTTTAAATATAGTAAATAAAGTTGTTATTAATATAACTATTAATTAATAAAAATATTTAAAAAATACTTATAGCATTTATCAGATTGTGTGTTATTAGGATGTATTATAAAATATTCATTTGTAATATTAGATTCACTTTTCTATAATTTAAATATAAATATTAATTAATAATTAATTTATTCTTATATATATAAATATTTAAATTAAAGTAAATATATCTCAAAATCAATATCACAAAAGTGATAAATATGATTTTAAATATAGTTTTAATAATTTTAAATCAACATTATTCAGAATAGTTAAATAACAATGATTTTTTTCTCTAAATTGCCATTTAATATAGTCAATAATTTTTTTTTTGATATTACTAAATCAATTACCTATATAGAATGAAATTTATATAAATTAATAAATAAGTAAATAATGTAATAATAACTTGTGTAAGCTTATTTAATTTTAGTATATTGTTATATTTTATTCTATTTTGATCAAATATTTACATTTATATTCATTTATTTTAGTAATTATACTAAAAATCAAAAATTAAAATTAATATTAATATTAAAACAAAATATATATTATTTATCAAAGTTATTTTTACATAAGATTTTTTAATTTATATTAAATGTATTTTTAAAAAATGAAGATGTAAAGTCTATAGATATGTGTGACCTACATCTATTTATTTAGATATAAATTCACATTTCTTTATAATAAGGCATTGCTTTTCTTCTTTAGTTAGTTTATATCTGAAAAAAATTACAATTTTTTACTGAATGAATAGTATTACTATCTTCATATGAATATTAAATATTAATCATTAAAAAAGCTTATCATACTTTCTATTCTATATTGTATATATTAGTATAACCAGTTTCTGATATATTAGGATACTCTTAAAATTTAATATAATAATAAACTTCTGATACTATTAACTTTTACTTAAATTTTGCAATTTAATTAGATCATTAATAATAATTATTTTATAAAAATAAATTTTTTAATTATCATTATAATTTAAAATTAATTTTTTTTTAACAATAATCTATGTAATAAGTGTTAACTATTTTTATAATATTTTAATCTTATTTTTTAACCTTATACAGATCATGTTATATAGGTCAAAATATCTTTTACTAAATATATCTAATATTGATAGATAACTGATAATTTAACTAAATTTTTTAATTTTAACATATCTCTTTAACAGGTTTTCATTGATTATTATAGGATTTTCTATCATTTTTATAAGAAATATATGAAAAATTTATACTTTTTGTAAGTTTATTGATACATTTTTTAAAAAAAAAATTTTTGAAAAATTTTGAAAAATTTTTATTTAATTTAATATTCTATTTAATTTAATGATAAATCTTTTTTCTATTAATATATGATGGCAAAAGCTAGTTAGTAAGAATACTTATTTACTAAGTAAATTTTATTCTTAAAAAAGCCCCTATAGGTTTTTGATCCTCATTTAAGGGGTATAGTAATCTTATTTTAGAAACATATTCTTAGATAATTAATATTTAATATAGATCATCTTAAATAGCTTAACCTGTTATCACAGGTTTACTAGATTATAGGTATTATTACCTTTAGATAAAGGGTTCACTTCAACTATAGAGTTTATTACACCCTATTTTTACTAATCTAATTTATAGGATTTACTCTATTAATAACTTTTGAGACTAAGTGATTAAATTCTTTATATAGGTAATAGTTTTGCATTTATAGCATTAAATTCATATAGAAGTTGAATTCAACTTTTACTACTAATAATAGCTTAATTAGATGATGCTATAATAATGCAATGTAATCTATTATTATTATAGCCACCTGAAAATAATACCAATTTACTAATTACTAGTTAATTACTTCTTTACTTATATAAATACCCTTAAATTTAAAAATGTGAAACAGTATCTATTATAGACTTATTAGTGAAGGTTAAATTTCTATTGATCTTTAGTTTCATTTGCATTCACATGTTTTTCAAACTTAATATTTAAGCATAATAAATATTGATCAACAAATTGATCAATTAGTTATAACAGTATATTAGTATATATACTTATATATTTAGTTACATATAAAATTCTTAAGAAAATCATTTAATTTTATACCTCAGCTGTGACTTAAATCTGTGACTATTGCAGTATAATCTACAATAAGAGTTCAGTTATTACTAACTGAACTAGAGATGCTAATCCTTATTTAGTGATAATTATTTTTTATTAATATGTAGTAGTAAGAGAACTAGTTAGTAGAAATATTTATTTACTAAGTAAATTTATTCTTAAAAGAGCTCTTATAGATCTTTAATTCTTAGTTAAGAAGTATAATAACCTTGTCTAAAGATACATTCTCAAATAGTTGTCATCTAATATGAACTACCTGAAATAGCTTAATCTATTATTACAGGCTTTCTAGATTACAAAGTATTATCATCTTTAAATAGAAGGCTCACTTCAACTGTAAAGCTTATCATACTCTATTTTTATCAATTTAATTTATAGGATTTTATCCTATTAATAATTTTCAAGATTGTAGGATTAGGTCTCTTTATATAGCTGGTAGTTTTGTATCTATAGCATCAAATTCATCTGAAAATTAAATTCAACTTCTATCTTTAATAATAGTTTAATTGAATAGTATTGTAATAGAGTTCTAGATGAGTTGAATTAACTCATAAATCAAATAAGCTAAATCAAGTTTAATTAAGCTAAATTTATGTTTTTTTAACTCAATGATTTATAAATCATGCTAAATTCAAATTAAGTTAAATATTTAACTTGACTTAATTTAAATTTGACTTAATTTAAGTTGATTTGAGTTAACTTAAAATTAATTCTTAATTTTTATTTATTTTTTTTTTTCTGAACTTTTCTTATTATTTTTTATTTATTATTTTTAATTTTAATTTTTAATTTTATATTTTCATTTTTAATTATTTTTTTTTTATTTTTTAATTTTTTTAATTTTGTTTTTTTTAATTTTTTATATTTTTAATTTTTCAATTCATTTTTTAATTTTAATTTTTTTTTATTTTATTTTTATTTTTTTGATTTTATTTTTTTATTTTTATTTTTCCTTTCCTTTTTTTTAAAAAATGTTTTTTATCATTTTTTTTAATTTATTTTTATTTTTCTCTTTCTTTAATTTTACTTTTTAATTTATTTTT